ATTGAATTGCTATTTCAAGAATTTATTAGTAAGTTTGGTATTATAATTCAAACTTTAGTATCATACATTATTTAATTGTTTAATTTAAAAGTAAATATTGAAAACACGGATAAACATAAATTTTTTTGTGTGTCATGTAGTATATTGAATGCAGCACTGGTTCAAATTAGATGTTTTTGAAGTCAGAATATTAAGTCTATAGTTTTGTATGATTTAGAAACTCAAATTACTGATATGGACAAGCTAGAATATAAAATAATATCCTCTTATCTTTTCAATTTGCTAAGATATTGCTCATGTACTGAATCAAACACAGTGGCCCCCGCTCATGTCTTTCCACTTTTGAAAATGGTCGCTTATATACACTTATTTCAACGTATGACATATGAATAAACAATTGAAAGCTCAGAATGTCCTCTTTCTCAGCCATTTTCATGTGTTCGGTTGCCATCTCTTTGAAGGAGGTTGTTTTTTGTTTTTTTTACTCTGCTCAAAATTTCATATTTTTTAGACCCAAATACAGCTCAGTTACTAAGCTTGATAAATTATAGTGGATTTCTGTGGTATCGATTAGTAGTTTATGATTTTTTTGGTTATTCAACTGTATATATATATATAAAACCTAAAAATAATGTTTTCATTTCATATCCTCCATATGAGAAATTTTAAAGGGATTAGTAACCTATGTCAAGCAGCAACTGAGTACAAAGGTTGTAACTAGAAGAGATAATTGTTTGCTTTATGTCTTTATTTACTGTTCTATGTTTTAATAAAACTAACTGAAATCTAAGAACATGTTTCTAAATAGTAATAATCTATATACATATATAATGTCTAATAATTGAAATGTGACTATTTTACAAAATACTATTCTACTAAAACACAGCTAAGACAGGTCACTTTGTAAAGACTAAAGGTCAGTTTTATATTATTGGATACAGTAACATGAGAGCATGTATGCTGCATCATTGTAACTTCTGTATTATTAGCCAGGTATGGCTGAAAGGTCAGTATAATAAATATATATAAATGTATAATGTTATGAGATTTAATGTATCTGGTCTAAACATTTATGTTTTCATATTATAATTTGTTGTCATTCTAGAATGAAAGAGGCATAATTAATATTTATTTCCTAATCTTTTTATGGTAGATACAAGATCGGTCAAATCTACCAAACCAGTACAGAGATTTGTTAGTGAAAAGAACAGATAAAATATAAAGTTTTGTTTATTAAGAAATATTTGATAATTATCTGGACATTATAAAGATTTTGCATTTTGAAATTTGAAAATTTTCTGATGCATAAAAGTATTTTTAATCTTAAAATGAAAATTACTTTGCATGTTGGATAGGCAACATGCAAAAATAAAAAAAGGCAGGAGAAAAACATTGCTTAACAAACTTTAAGACTTAATAAAAATATTTGATATTATGTGTATGAAAGCATTGTAATGTTTACTGATAAAAATTACTTTGCATGTTGGATAGGCAACATGCAAAAATAAAAAAAGGCAGGAGAAAACATTGCTTAACAAACTTTAAGACTTAATAAAAATATTTGATATTATGTGTATGAAAGCATTGTAATGTTTACTGATAATCTGTTAAACTTTGTTTACATATGTTTACTAATTTGAAAATTATAGCATGAAAACTATAACAAGCACGAAATGGTTACGAGGTCAGTCCCAGCGCCATGCTGAAAGAGTTAAAGAAGTCAAGTAGAATTATGAAGTAACAGTAGAACCACTGCATTGCACATGTTGCAATTTCTGCTTATAGCTGATGGCATGTCAAAAGTATCTAATCTGAAGGAACTTTTGAAAAGGTGTAAGAAGATTGTTTATGCTCTTCATTATAGTTGACATTTGTTGTAGGAAGAAGTTCAGAACCAAAATGATCATGTAGTGCTTATTCAACTTCTAAAACAAGCAAAGGAGAGAAAAGGGGAAATCCTAATGGCTAAATATCTGGAGGAAGTGGAAAGTGTAAATGAAGCTCTGAATCTTCATGCTGATTTCTGTTGGAGGTGGAAGAGCCTGTTGAGCAAAATCGTACTGAAGAACACCAAGCAGATATATCATAGATTACAAAAAGACATTGCTAAAAGCAAGAAATACATATTGGCTGAAAATCTGTTTTTGCATTACTTCAAACTATACTACACCTGAAGAGGGAAGTGAACAATGTTTTGAAATTAATCGGGTCTACTAAATAATGCTTCTCTACCTTTGAACTGGAATGCACGACACAACTATGCAAATTTTTAACAACATTTACAGAAGTTTAGTGACCTCATGAGCAACGAATCTGCCACATTTCCATGCAGTACACTCATAAGATCAGACATTAAAAAGTTTGTGGTATGCATCCAGGAGATGATGACAGCATTAAAGCTCTGAAACAAAATATTCTTCAGAAGCATTGAGTAATCAAGTGAAACTAGTTTCACTTTTTGAAGTTGTGAGAAGGGCTGTATTACCAGTTCCATAAAAGAAAAAAACAGACATAACTAGGTTTATTAAGGATGCAGAGAAGCAAATAACTCCACCATACAAAGAACATTTGCCCACAGCTGGGGATTGCACAATTGCATCAATGATGGCTTCATGTGGCAGTTCTGATAGCTTCCAGTTTGATGCCCTAAAAAGAAAAGAAAACTGTTAGAAGAGTTAACAGCTCTCGTTCAGTCAAAAACCAAGATGATGAAATAGACATACAAATCACATATGAAGTACAGACTTACTTGACATATAACATAGAACAAAGAGGCAGCTTGCTCTACTGTAAAAGTGTAGTAGTACACCACTTGCTACAGAACCGGTTTCATGGTTATTGGCAAGAGATCATCCATGTCTCCAAGAAATTTAACTCGATGGTTATGGTTTAAAACCATTTGGCATACTTTTTGTATGGAAAATGATACACATTTCAACAATACTTATAACAACTCTGAGATTTCTTAATATATCTTCACAACAATTGGTAATATTTTGTTAAAGATTACAAGTATTTTGTACACAAACAATGAGATTGTTTTAATTAAATATATTAATTAAAAATTTGTTATTTTTGTATTGTAGTTATTTCCACTCAGACTCTGAATATTTTGAGTATTATCATCAATATATTGTGCAGTGAAATGTTTAAAATTAAAAATAGAAAAAATGTACATACCAATCTCTTAGTTTATATCCTTACTTGTGAGTTTTTACTTTTTTTTTCACAAAAAGTATATTTTTGATGTTATATTTTCCTTTCTTATCCTTTAGCATTATCACTTATCGTGACACATGTCAATGGGCATGCTCTGGGTGTCCTCAGCAGTGAGATTTTAGCCATTGTTAGAATGTTGGGATGTTTGCCTACTACACTAAGCCTGATAAACCGAGGCAGTTTGGCTTATATCTAAATAAGTTATTAAACCTTTCTAATATGTATCTTAAAACATAGCTAATATATAATTAAATAAATATAAAACTGAAACCTAAATAAAATTTAATTGTCTATCTAAATAACAAACTAGTTTTATCTATACATACAAGTATAGTGTACAGGAAGAACTGTTTAAATTACAGAGATGAAAAGCTAATATTTTGTGAACTTGTGCATCAAACTGAAATTTAAGAATTTTTCTTTAAGGTTTCTTTTGAAATAAAGGAACTAAAACTTAGATAATATAAAACTTTGAACTATAATATAAATTTAATGCTTATTTCATTGGTATACATTGATACTAAGATTGCTTAATTAAATTTTAAATGTAACAAAGTAAAATCTTGTAACATATGCAGTACAGGAGTGCCCGTAATTATAGGATTAATCAGTTTAATACTGAGGTATTATAATTTTTTTACTACATTCACAGTGAAATAAAGATCTGTTCATGCCATTTGATATTTGATTATATTGTTCATCAGTTTCATATGCATGAATTTTATCTAGTGCAACCCTATGTTCCTGAAAACTTAATGCTATCTTTATTTACTGAGTCATTCCTATTGCAGGGATAGAAACACCCATCGTTTGTACAGGCATGCGCACTGTTACCATGCAATAAACAAACAGTCTCCACTTTTTAACAGAGCTGTTGTATCATATGCCTATTTTAACAACAGTGTATATATATATTTCTTCATAAACATTCCCATTGGCTCTCCACTATTGACTGCTTTCTATTTCTGAGAATAGAAACCAAATATCTTGTGGTATACCTTGCTCAACAAGCACAAGATTATGAATAAGTTGAAAAAGTCAGTAGACAAAAATTTGATTCAGTTGGAGCTGTAAGAATTCAAATATTTGTATAAGTGAGTCAAAATTTAGTGTATTTATTTGGAAATAGATTTGTGACTGATTACGAGAACTGGTAGTTAGCTTGCATTTGATCAAAAGCTCTTAATAATATACTTGTATTTAGATCCTGCACTATATGCTGGAATTCTAAAAAAGTTCTAGTTAATAGGTGAAGTTACTTTAGAATTTAATATTTTTCTTTCATGTTTCATAATGTTTAAAAACAAAAAAGTAGAATCAACAAGTAAGTGCAGTAAGACAGTTTATCTTGTAACTTATACTTATTTAGTAAAACTTTTAGTGTTTTCCAGACAAAGAAACAAGGTCAAGAGTGTTAGTGTATCAGTTGGCAACATTAAAAAGATGTGTTAATGATCCAAGTATTTCTGCATTTTCTTCTGTTACCTTTTTCTTTTATTAAATTTCTTTTACAGTTATTTCTTCTCAAATTTCTCATGATTTTTTTTGTCAGAACAAAAACTGGGAAGAGACATTACCAACTAATAATTTATCATTAAGTGGATATAACTTAAGTGACAATGAAAGTGTTCTCATTTTCATTTCCAGTAGTGCACTACAGGATACCAAGAATATCAGTTTGTATATTAAGAATATTACACATTCTGTAAGTAATTAATATGCATTGTTGTATGGATATACAACCTTTTTACAGAATAATTTTTTTTTATTCTTAATCCTAGGTGAGCAGGACCTGCTAAAGAAAATCAAATCTATTGCCCAGAAAAACAAAATATGGAGATCATACATTGGAATGGGCTATAACAGCTGTAAAGTTCCTCACACAATACTCAGAAATATCCTAGAAAATCCAGGATGGTGAGGTTTATTTGAATTTTAACAGATTATTTCTTTAAAAATAAGTTGTTTGAGATTTGAGAATATTATCAGTGTAGGGAAAATACATTTTGATATTTATAAATTTCATAACTTCTGTGGGTGACAGCTGGAATAATCAAGATTAACTAATACAAATTTATTTTTATTTTATAGTTGCTGTATTGATGATGATATAAGAATTGAAGCAAAAATATCTTGCATCATTAAGTTGTTAAAAATGCAGTTTATACTTATTTATTGGTGTTTATGTAATTCATTTTGACCAGTATTTTAGAATTTTATTGCTGAGTAGTCTGTTATATTGGATGTAACTAGACATTGTCCACAAATGATAAGTGAATAGAGAAATTGACACTGGAAGCCTTACAAGAGTAAGGGATAGATGAAAGTGGGTGTCCATAATGTTATTTTATACAAATGTCATAGAGGATTAATAAGCTGGTATAAAACAGGAAAAAGGGAAGAATATCATACTGCATGAATGTAAAACATTAAAATGTATTAATCCAAAATGTTGGCAAACCAGAGTTGCCAAAACATGTTAGATTAAGAAATTATAATGTTTCTGTTCCATGTGGTATCATGTTGTTCTGTAATTACTTGTTTGTATTAATTTTTGTATGAATTAGTTTTTTGTGAATGTACATTTATAAGTTGTTTTCTAACTTTCTACATTTAATATTGTTAGTTTGGTACTCATTTTACATTAACTTGACTCTGTTATGGCTCTGATAATACATTTAGAGCTTTGTAACCTATAGTATATGCCAAAATCACTGCTTCTTTGTATATGTGACAGAAAATACAGATTGCCCATACAGCTACTTGCAGGCAGGTCAGGAATGTATTGATGTAAATAAATTTTCTCCTGCTAACTTGCTAGCTGCTGCTGTGGCTGCATCCAATAGTGGAATGCTTGGAACACCACAAGGAAGTGAATACAGGCATGGTTGATAAAAGTACCTTACATTACTTTCAGATGACAATTTCAATTTACCAAAAGTAAACTATTCGTATTGAGTGAGACTTTGTTCTTATAATTACATGACAACAAGTATTTATTTCAGCTGGGGCTGGTTAACATCTAAATTTTATATAAACTGTGATAGTAATATGACTGTCATTTAGCATATGAAAAAGTTCTACAACTCAGGCTATTGCGACCAAACTAGTTTATTTTGGATTGACTTTTAAAATATAGTTTAGCATTCTGTCTGTCACTTATGGAAATGTTAAGATGAAGGGTATAGTCTTTCCTAACTTTGAACAAGAGGGAGAGCAAACTAGTGAGCAACATCCACTGCCAATGATGACATGGCACTCACTCTTATAACACACTCCTAATGCAGCAGCAGCTTGTCACAGATCAAACTTCAGACCTTCTAATCCACAGTTTGGCATGCTAATTACTAGGCTATGCCTGGACTAAAATGCAAAAAACAAATCTGTGTTTACACAACCTTCTACAAAGCTATATATATTATTTACATATCTACGAAAATACCTAGGGCAGCAAAGAAAATATTGAATATACCTGCAGAATTGAACAAGTATTATAATTTTTACAGAGTAATGTAATGAAACAACAGTTTCCTAATGTTATACAGACAAGTTACTTTGAACAAGTGATAAAACAAAATTCTTAATTGAAAAAAAAAATGCTTTTGGATTAATAGAATTGGATACATTTTATATGTATAAACTATGAAAATGTAACAAACTACTGTAAGCAAAATTCAAAATGTGGATGTCAAGAATGAAACAATTCTCTGTATGTATTAAATCCCAATATTTAGAAAATACTGCCCCACTGGGACTATATATGTTGGCATTATTATGTCTTACATATTGTAGTCTCTTTTAAGTTTTATTTAAAAGTCATTAGAGTTTATGAATTGTACATTTGTGTGATCACCTTTTGGACATCTTTCTTCAGCAGTTTCTCACATGAGATTTGTGAAATAAGCTTACGATTTTGCATTTTTTGTGAATCTTTGCTGAGACATTCAGTTTTCAGTTGGTTTTTGTTATTGTCTGTACCAGCTTTATATTTAACATGTAAAATATGATACTTGCAACTCTAGTTATGAATGTCAAAGCTTTTGTCATACCATTTATTTGAGTTTGAAATGGTTTATCATATCTTGGTATTATGAAAGAAATTTGGTTGTGTGATTTTATGTTGTTTAAAATATGCTCTTGTTCTGATATTGGCCAGCCAACTTTGTAGTAGCTGCTTCTTTAAGACTGTGATACCAGTGGTTGAGGCAGTTTGTCCTGTTTCTTGTTATTAATATCACATGATATCCTAAACCATGGAAGTTTCTATTACTACTATTTTTGTAAATACTTACAATTGATACCGGTGGTTGAGGCAGTTTGTCCTGTTTCTTGTTATTAACATCACGTGATATCCTAAACCATAGAAGTTTCTATTACTTACTATTTTTGTAAATACTTATGTTTAGTTTCATGCATTTTTAGCTATGTTAACAATCCATGCCTATAGCACACCCAGTTCTTACTGAAGGTCATTTATGACATTGATAATTGTTTTGTTAACTTCTTAAGCTTCCTTGCTGTGTATTTTCAAAAGGACATTGATGGGAGGTATGTGTTGACTGTTGTAGCTATGATACCATACATGAACAAGTAGAAGGTGACACAGGATGCAAAATGTATGTGTCCACAACTAATAAAACTGACAACCATTAAGTGTTCCAAGTACAAAATTGTTTGAATTTGCTTACAGCTGGAATGTATTAGCACAGCAAAAATCATGCATTTGGTCATGTCCAATGTGGCAATTCTTTTTGCTTTTACTGTGTTGTTTGCTTTACTTGACACTCTGTTGTTTGAAGATCATGTAAAATATGGTGATTTTTTTAAAGTTATTTTGTTATATTGTGTCGAGAGCTGGGCAATTAACTAAATTAATTGATTTACCCAATTACCTGTAAGAATCATGTGCATAATGTAGTGTCACATAGAATAACTAATAAATTGAAAGTACTATTAAATGGATTAGTGTCATGAAAATAATCAACTGAATGAAATTAGTGTTTACAGTTATTACTATTTCAATTACTCCAACTATCCAAGTAATTTAAATATTAGCTCTTGCTACATCTATTGGTGACATGTGACAGTATACATGCTTTCTGCTTGTACACAACTCTCGAATATGAGGTTCTTGCCTAGTGACCATTGGCTACTTAACTATCTGCAATAGTGATGGGCAACAGTATACTGTGATACCACAGTGTTGCAGTTCTGATACAGTATCTTATAGCTTCTCTCATTCAGTGGTGCCCTCTATATGCAAAAATTGATTTGCTCGCCACTAGACTTGAAATTCCTACCTACTCCTCATTTAATATGGTTCTTCTTTGTCTTTGCATGCAAGTAAGCATGCGGCAACCCTCCAACCCTCTTGATGCAGGTTACTCCCTCTATGCTATTCAGCCTAACCTTCACTTCTCATTTAAGTACTATTGTGTTCAGACATTATTGAAATTCTTTCATCTTTTTTCAAATTTCTACTTGCTTGATTTTTGTTTCTCGAAGTAGTAATTAGACATAGTCACTTGGAGTCTTTGATATAAGTGTGGGGGGCCACCCTTCATTCTCCAGTTAGGTTCTCCCAGGCCCAGTTTTCCAGACTTGCTGACCCTAACTTTCATCCTTAGGTTATCTGTTTACCATGCACCTCCTAGCTGAGGCTGTTCCCCTGCAGATTTTTCAAAGGAGGCCTACACCTTCATAATTTAGAGATTGGTGCATTTATTCTTTTCCATCCTTTTCCTCCAAACATGACTTCTCTGCTGCTTGGATCTCCGAAGTAGGGATACATTTTTATCTCAGTTGCATCTCCCCATAACCTATCTGCATCACCTCAGAATGGCACCATTTTTATGCAGATCTCATTTTGGAGACATCACTGATTCTCTGGAGTCATGGGTGCAGTCTGCTCCCGATTCTGTTTTCCCGTCCCGCACGTTCTCAACCTTTACCTATTCCTATCTCTCCAGAGTTTCAACAGTAAATTAACATATTTCTTTTTTGCTCGACTCCTCCTCTATGCTCAGAGCTTGCACTTCCATCATTACATAGATAACTGACTCCTGCTGGCTCCATCAGAACATTTAGCACATGAACACACAGTTGCTTCTGAGAGAAGCAGCTCGTTTTGGTTGGATCATCAAGGTGAAGTCTTTCCTCATACCTACTCAATATCTTGTCCACTTGGGAGTATTTTTCAACTCCTACCTCAGTTGGGACCAACTTTCTCCCTTTTGTGTACAATTGGTGGAGTTTTTTGTCACCAAAGCCCTTACCGAACTCTCACTGCATGCGAGGTTGTTTCACTTTTGGGGATGTGGGCTTCCATAGAAGTGCTTATACCTTTAGGTCATGCTCACATGCACACCCTTCAATGGGCACTGCATGATCAATGGAATCTTGCCAGGGATCCCTTGGACTCCATTATCCATCTTCTACCTTCTCTCCTGGATGATTTTGAATGGTGACTACACAGAGATAACATCATGGTGGGTGTTTGTCTTCTGCCTCTATATTCTATGTTGCACCTGTTCATAAATGCTTCACCCAGGGGTTTGGGGTGAGTTTGGAGCATCAGGAGGTTTCGGATCTTTGGTCTCCAGTCGAAGTGACTTTACATACCAACATCTTGGAACTAATTGTCGTTTGTCAAGCTTTGGATCATTTCCTTCCTTTAATTTGGGGGCAATTGGTTATGATCAGTTCCGAAAACACGACAATTGTTTCATTCATCAATCATTAGGGTGGCACCTGTTTCCTTTCACAATGTTTGCAAATGTTGGAACTACTTTTTTGGGCCCATGATTTTCACACACACCTCATAGCATGTCATGTTTTGGATGCCTTCAATCTGGTTGTGGATTATCTTTCTCACCCAGACCAAATCTCCACAGAGTGGTCCTTTGACTCTCAAGTTTTATGGTGGCTGTGCACACAAGTGGGTACTCCTCATATAGTACGCCCCTTCAGTAACTACAAAATTAAATGTAAATTAATCACTATAAAATTATCATTGCTCAGACAAACCATAATTTTTATAGCCTTCAATTTTGTTTGGTTACAGAGCTATCAAATAGAAAATCAGACCCTACCGGCCACACCCACCTGTCACATCCTCTCTTTGAGGATTTGTTAATAGTTATCTCTTACATTTAATTATATATTACCTATAACCAAGAGAAGGCCAAGTTTTCATCTATCAAATATTGTATTATATTACATAGTGTTCTAAACAGATAATCATCAGTTTCACTTGTAATACAACTTTGGTTCCCATGGGAATCACAGTGGCTAGCTTGGAAGAATTTGTAATGGCTCTTGTTGTATAGTTAGAAAACCAGAAAAATTGTGATTGTTAGAGGAAATTGTTTTCTTTTTTTTCATGTTATTATACGATGTTCTTTGGTGCATTATTTAATGCACTATTACATTAGTATTAAAAAAAAGTTTGGTTAAGTGTCATTGATAGTTGCCAACAAGAAAAAAAGAATACTCGGTTAAGTACTTTATTTCTTGTTTTTCATGTTTATTATTTATTTATTATTATAAAAATAACTAAATTGTAAAAATAGGGATCTCATTAGGTTAGTTAAGGTTAGATTAGGTAAAATAAATAATAATATATTAAAAATATTTGACAAGACATGCAAGCTCTGAGTAGCTCTGGGATAATGTAATTCGATAGCATAACATCAACTGCACATTCCCCAATTGATTTACAAAGGGCAATAAAACAATAAAATGTAATTATAAATAGAAGTATACTGTTACGAGTTTAAAGCTACTTAGGATAAACAAATGTGGTTTCATGTTACAATTTGAAGTCATTCTAGAAAGAAAAAGAGGGTAATTTAGATTTATTTCTATTTTATTTGTGTGTGGGGGATTAATTTGAAAGACATTTAATGTATACTGAAAGACTACCAAATTTTATGAAGATATACACACTTTATTAAAAGTTAGTAATATTAAATCTATAAAGATTTTGAATGAGTACAAAAAGGTCACATGGTTGGTCAAATTGTCCAAGCCTGTATTGAGAGAGTTAATGAAATTGCAACAAACTTGGAACAAACTTACTAAATAATACCTAGTTTTTGCTTTAAAAATTAATAAATTGTTTGATAGTTTCATAGAAGAAAATTTCCTTGGGTTTCAAAGAAATTAATTTGAAACAAGAACATTTTCAAGAGTAAAAATAACGTATAAAGAAATTATAAAAAAATTCCAGATCTACGGTTTGTTGTCAAGTTTTTCAGTTTTCCATTATATTCTGTTGTTGTTCTCTGCTGGAGCTTGGTCTAGTTACTTTCCCATGAAATCTTAAATTATATCCATTTTACATTGACGTAAATAGTCTGTAACCCACTCTGTCCAGTGGTATGTAAACTTTGCCTGTAGTTATTTTCAGAGTTGAGATTCTTTAGTGGTTTTTTTGTATAACGTGGTGCAAGATCATAAAAGGTAGGACTGAAAGGCTATACTAATCAAATCAGGAAAGAGAAGGAGCATCATATTAGAAACAATAAAAAAAAATTGATAATTATGTTCTCAAGGGATGGTAGTTTTTTTATCAAAGTTAAACCTGTGTTTTTGGATGGGCAGAAAAATTACAAAAAGATATATATGTGTTTTGTTTTTAGTCTGTTATTTTCAAAGCTGAGTAGAAATGAAAGCTTTAATGTTTTAATTTTTTTGTGAATTACACTAAATAATTGTTACAAAATATCAGTTCTAAATTTGTTTTGTTTAAAAGTATTATTGAAATTTTTACATAATTTAGAAATTTGATATGCAGGTGTGCACTCAGTGTGCTTTGCAGATAAATGTTACCTATTGATAACAAAGGATTTTCACATTATATATATATATATACACACACACACACACACACACACACACACACACACACACACAACAACTAGTAAGAGTATAGTAGATACAACTACTTACTATCTCTACTACGACCTAACCTAACCTAAACGTTAAATTTAATTTTATTAG